CTAGGAGGTTACATATACCTTTTTTTAGTTCTATCAATTGTTAATAACCATCTTTACTCTTGTGTTTATTGCACCAACATGATATTTTATCGCTGAGTTATATTCATAAAAGTATGACTAAGCAATAACGTGCCTCGTATTTTTCCTTCTGTTTCTTTGACTTATTCTCCAGAGATATGTTACGTATTTAGTTTGGTAAATAATAAAAAGTATATTATGATTTGTAATATCAAAGTTTTAAGTATTGATGTGGGGTGATGTTCCAACATTACAAATGAATTAAGCTATCTAAAAACATCAAATCTTGGTCTTAAACTCTTACGTCATATAAGATTTTGATCTAATAGTGACATTAAACTAATAAATATTATTTTGCTACAAATTTCAATAGACTTTATCACAACTTGTTGCCAACTTGTGAGCTTATAATATAATAATGTATCCCAGTTATTGGCAACCGTAAACTTATTATAGAAGCAAATAAATAATGATTAAATAAAACCAATATATGACGTAATAACAAATGTCAACGAGCAAATTTAATACTAGTACTATTTTGTTACCTGCCTTTTAATTTAATTTCTAATTAGAGATGTGACCACATTTTGATAAGTAGTACGTATATTTTATGGAAGACGAAAAGTCAAATTGATTCGAAGAAAACATGGCAAATGTTTTATTATTATCCTTATTAGTTCATGTTTAACTTAATACTTAGTAAAAGATGGAAAAATAATTTTTATATTATTTTTAATTATTATAAATCATCTTACTCGATGCAAAAATCAATGAATTGAAAATAACTAACTATATATAGATAATAATAATAAATTATTTCTTTATCTTCCAAAGCTGGAAAAAAAATATTACATTTATTTGTTAGTTATTAGTAGGATAAATAAATAGTATTTCACAATCCCTATTTGAAAACGAGTTGGAAGGATAGGGATTACAAGTGTCATCTACGAGACAATACATACAGCCAAAAGTGATGTACTTCTTCTTTTAAATTAATTATTTTCCTCGAATACAATTTATATTTAAAATATGATAATATGTATTTATTGTATTGCTTATAAACTAAAATATAGATTTTTTTCATTACAGAAATTTACGGTAGCCTTTCGTTTATTATTAATGGGTTGTTTGTAATTATATAAATAAATATTTATGAATTATTGTGCCATTACAATTTTTTTAAAAAGAGCAATCTTTTTTAGCTTTCTTGGAATATGTGATTGATAAGGGGGAATCATACTGATAGTGAGAATTGTAATTAGATACATTAAAACAATTTTATTTTTAAAAAATTTCACAAAGAAGATAATCTTGTTGGGAAATAAAATAAATTCCCAATAATAATAATAATAATAATAATAATAAATAGTTTTATTATTTAGTAAACTAGTAATTTCAAAAATGAGATGAATATTATTACAATAATATATACATATTAGTGCATACAGGGGCGAATACACAGGTAAATCAGGAGGTTCACCATATATATAAGATAACATTTTTGTATTTACGTGAATATATATATATTTTGAGCTCCCAATGACAAGTAAAGTAAGATAATCCAGTGGTAAGTTTTTTTTAAACCATGCGTGTCGTTTGGGGTTTGAATCCCCTGGCTAGCATTTTTTTACCTTTTTAGTTTCAATTTTGTTTAAGTTCCAGTTTTGTTTTGACGTATTTTTTTTTTAATAAAACATGTTTAAAGTGTGGTCTTAAATTCAAAAGAATTCAAAAGTCACATTCCTTAAAAAAAGATTTGTTGGATTGTGTACACGTTTATACTTTTATTTTCAAACCCCCTGAATGAAAATCCTGAGTGCATAACTTTAATACTTGAGTGCTGCTAGACACTGTCCTAAGAAACTATTTTCAACATTGTGAAATATTTCCCCAGATTAAACAAACACTTCTCTTTCTTAAATAGAGGTTACAACTTACAAGACTCAACAAATAAATTACATCAGCAAGTTATTAGGGGATACTCCATCCGTCCACTTTTATTTGTCATGTTGCATTTTTTTAAAGTCAATTTGACTGATTTTCAAAGTTAAATTAGATTACATTAATTCGATATTTTAAATAAAAAATTTAGATATTCATAAACTATATGAAAAGTAGTACAAATTGCAATTTTTTTGCATATCAATATGATGAAAAAATATATCTTTAGTCAAAGTTCTTATAGTTGACTCTAAAAATAGAATTATGACAAAAAAAATAGCGAATAAAGAAAGTATAAAATAACTGCTAATTAAAATAAGTAGGGAAAATTTTCAAAATAGCAATATTTTAGTTTTTTAGTGGAGCTCCTTAGCAACAATTACATTATTTATTAAAAATGTCATTATTTTAGTTTGTTACGGAATTAGTTATGTATTTATTATTATTTTGCAAAAATATAAATAATTAATAACAAAATAGAGAAAATCATGGAACAAAAATATTATTTTTTTAATTTGATAAAATACAATTAATTAATAACAAAACGGAGAAAATTAAGAAAAATAATATTAATTTTTGAATTTAAACCAACAAAGTTACGTTACCATAATTACTAATCATAATTTTAGTACAACTTTAAGTAAACATAATTTTTTCTCCATTACTCTTAAGCCTTTTCATCTTTTATTTTTGGGATTATAATTTGCAAAATTTCTTTCCTATATACGTGTTTGGTTCCATAATCGACATGACTTTCTTCTCCCTTATTCCTCAAATTTACAATATTAATTTTTAACACTTCATTGAAAATACTGAATCTATGTAGAATTGAAGTCGATTGATTCAAGATTTTTGCGGGTAGTGAAAAAGATTTTAGAATGAAAAATAAAAAAGAATTACAAAATTTGTTGATAAACAAAGTGAGATTGAATACAAATTGAACACAAAAAATCTAAAACTTGTTGGCGTACATTTAAAATTGTTATAAAATAACTAAAGAAATACCAAAACTTGTTTGCATAGAAAGTGAAAATGAAATACAAAATGATATTAAAATACAAAGTGAGCACAAAAAGAAATACAAAAACTTGTTGGCATAGAAAGTGAGAATGAAATACAAAGTGAGATTGAAATAGAGAGTGGCACAAAAAAAAATACAAATTTTTTTGGTATATAGTTAGAACGAATACAAAGAAAAAAAGAAATATAAAATTGTGTGAATCCTAATTTAGAATAGTATACAAATTATGTAAAACTATTTATCTACTATCCTATAATATAATACAAAATTAAACATATAACTAATTTGAAATGAATATCACCTACAATATAGATACAAGTTCTATTTAGAAAAAATCAAATTTAGAAAAATACCACATGAATTTTATAATAAATACAAAATGCAATAGACCATCAAAACAATAAGGAATACAATATGACAATTTAAATACAAAATGCAACATGCCATAAAGTTATTCTTCATCATTATGATCTTCAACAATTTCATCAACTTCTTTGGCATCCATAATTTTTTTTTAACTGTTGATTTCATTAGTCGGGTAGGATCATGTTGAAATTCAGACTTTCCCTCTTCACAATCGGATCTACACCATAATCGATGGATTTTGTTGAACAATTTGGAAAACCCTTGAAAATAGAGGAGTTAAGAAACATGAACGATGGGGAAGAGAATGTGAAATACGGAGAAAGAAGATTAATGGATTGTGGTTTAATTATTTTTTTTCTTTTTAAAAGTTCATTGGTTTTAAAATTTTGGTCTAATTTAAGAGCGTTTTGACGAATAAAGATTTAAACAATAAAATTTAGATATAAAATATTTTTTAAAATATTGCTATTTTAACATTTTAGATAAATATTTTAAAGTGTTATTATTTTAACTAATTATACTTAATCGTTAATTTTTTTAAATAAATATAACTAAAAAGGGAGAGTGGAAACAGTGAGTGAAACCAAAAAAAGAGAGTATTAATATTTTTATTGTTATCAAATGCAAAGAATTGAGGGACTATTCATAGTAGAAATACACTCACATGCACTTGACAAGCCTCTTAACACTTGTTCAAATGCCACTAATAACATAAGACAAGTGAATCATTTCAAAGGATGACAAGATTTATCATTTTTTTTAACAATATATTTCTTAATAATTTTTTGGCTTTTCCAAATACATTTCTTTTAAAATAATTTTTTTGAATTAAAACATTTTGCTGACAAATCTAACGCTCATTATATTTATTAAAGATTATCAAGCATCTCCATGTAATCTGAGACTAAAAGAATAACATCTGTTAATATATTTATATTTTTTGTTTTATTATTATTAATATATATATCACATGTTTAAGTTTCACGATTTTCATATCTAATCAACTATCCCTCACAGATCAAGTAGTATATTTTAAGGGGATTAATTATTATAAGAGTCCATTACAAATCTTAAAAATTTAGGTCAAAAAAATAAAAAATCAACGTACATTATTTAAAATATTAATTAATATAAAAACATTTCTTTTTTTTTCAATTCAAAATGTAATGGTTATGCTATAGTGGAGACACATTTTTAATTATACCGAATTAATTAAACATGTAATCAGGTATTAAATTTGAAATATTAACATTTTATTTTATGTGATTTATAAATTGTTATACCTAACAAAAAGCGATCACCAACCTTATTGTCAACAAAAAAAACTTTTGAATATGTCACGTATTGTCATTATCTTTTTTTAGGCAGAAAGCGAAGTTTTTGAAAGCTCATCAACTTTGACCAATAAAAAAAAGCAACAATTTTTCCGTTTCATAAAAAAATATTTTTATTGTTTTTTAAATTTATTTTAAAAATAATAATTTTCTTTTTCTTTTACAATATTTTAATTTTAATTTTTCACATAGCACGTAAAACCACAAGATAAAAAATATTTTAATATATTTGACATTTAATTTTAAACCACAAAATTTTTTATTTTTTTTTAAACTCCATTTTAAGTTAAAACTAGAAATATTTGGTGTATTTCAAGTTGCAATTAGCAACTTCGATACTTTTACTTAACAATATTTTACTCAATTAATTGGGCTGTCCTACTTGAGTATCAAATTGATTCAAAAAATTTGTGTATATATATACCCACACAAATATTTTCAGGTCTCCTCAAAAATCGCATTTTCAGGTGACTTATTTTCTTTTTGTTGAACTAAAAATGTTGTTTGATTTCTGCATTTGTCCATAGATTCAGTTTGTGATGAGCAATGCGGGTTATTGTGATTCTTGAATTCAATTTTTTTGTTTTCTTGTGTAGTTGGCCTTTTCTTGTTTTTTCTCCATAATTTGTCACAGATGTCGGTCAGATTTCTGTAATCTTTTTCCTGGATATAAGGTGCATTCTTCATTGAAATTTGTGGGTTAGGAATTTTTATGGACAATACCTATTGTTTTCTCCAATTTGAAATCTTCTCTCAAAATTTAAATCCAAAACTAAGCCCTAAGATTGAAAATTTTGGGTGTGGTTCTGCTTTTAGACTCAATACTGTTTCTCTATAGGTAATTATATGATGTAGTAACAGAGTGATTGTTTTTCTTTTTTTCTCTTTTGTTATGCTTATCATGGTTTTGTACTTCTGTAGAAATTTTGCTATATCTATGGCTTCTATAGTTTGACAATTAAAACTCTGTATTATACCCCTCTGAATGTGATTAATAATTAGACATAAGAAGTATTATTAATATTTGCTAACTATTGAAATGTCATTGATGAACTAAGTTTGCTCATCTAAATTTATGATGATCATTGATAGTTAAATTGTTAAGCCTCTCTAACTACGCGGGGCTGATTGTTAGGCTGCAGCTTCTAACTCACTATCTATCTTGTTTCTGTTAAAGTGTGTTAGTGACCTAATCTTAATTGTGGCAGGTTGTTAGATGTAGTCTATCAGGGTCGATATTATACAATCTTTCGCTATTACTATTACTATGTTCTGATGGGCTGCTTTCACTCAAAATCAACACTTCATTACACACCCGGATATGAGGAGCCCACTGTGCTTGCTGCTGAGACACCTTGTGAGTATGAATCATTTAAGAATCTAAGTCATGTTTTGTCATTCTAGTTGAAAGAAAAATGTACTTGTTTCCCAGCTGTCAAGTTCTACAAGTTTAGTTAGATCGCACATTATATGTCCTTAAAGAAGCAGTCAAGCACCATTGGTATTCCGGAAGATGTAGTATGAATCTTGGCCAATATAGATTATTCTATGCCTATGAAAATTCCCCTCCTTTATCAGATAGTTGAAAAGAAGAACTTTAAGGTGTGAGAGGAAAAAAAAAACTAGACCTCAGGATAAGGATCACATCCCAAAGCCCTCCAGTTCTTAGAAAGTTTCATTTAATTTTATAATTAAAAGACTTCTGATAGCATTTCATCCATGAGACTTCAATGACAATAGAAAGAAACCACAAATCTTTTACTATGAAAACTATAATATGATGTCTTCTGAGAACGAGAGGTATGATCTGGTTTGTCAATTTGGTTGATTTACTAGCAATTTTATTGCGTCCTCATCACTAAATTTGATAGCATGGATGTAAATAACATATAGAAACGTGTATTAGGTTTGATTATCAGTAACCTCTTGCTACAATTGCTAATCATTTAGAAACTGTGTTAAAAAATATTGCAGTTACAGTGAGTGAAGTCGAAGCATTATATGAGTTGTTCAAAAGAATAAGCAGCTGCATTATTGATGATGGGCTCATTCATAAGGTATATCTCTGTTGCTTGCAAATAGAAACGGATATATTTTTCCATGTTTTGGTTTCTTAAATGTACTAATTTGATATAGTACTTAGCTAGTCAACAAGTCTATAATGTGTTGTGGCTACCTATTCTAATTCTGGCATTGCCTTCATCAGGAAGAGTTTCAGCTAGCACTCTTCAGGAACCAAAAAATGGAAAATCTATTTGCAGATAGGGTATGTTTCTTGGACAATTTTTCATTGCAATGGTCTCTGTAGATGAATCCTGTGCATTGTTGATTAAACAGTTTTGACGCATCAACTCTTATGCTGGAAGTCTACTGCTTCTCTTCAATTTAATTGGATAATTTTAATACTTCTTTTGTCAATTTCCCTGTTTCGTGCTCATCTGAAGTTCTGGATATTGCTTCACTGAGTTTCTTATTATGCAGATATTTGATCTTTTTGATATTAAGCGCAATGGAGTGATTGAGTTCGGGGAATTTGTCCGATCACTGGGTATCTTCCACCCAAATGCGCCAGTAGCTGATAAAATGTCATGTATGAAATGATCTTTCTTAGCTGTTATACAATTGATAATGGTGCCTATCACATAGTTCTGATTTCTCACTTTCACTCTTCAAATGACACACATTATGTGTGCCTACTCGTTGACATTGATGTCTCTAGCTTAATATCTTTGCAGTTGCATTCAGATTATATGATCTTAGGCACACTGGTTATATCGAGAGAGAAGAGGTTGGTATCGCAACTATATATGCATTATGCTACTCTACGCTCTCCTCATCTTGACAATTATTGTTAGGGCCCAATTTAAACACTCCAGTCTTTTGCTTTAAAATATTTTCCTTTTCCTGAAAAAGAAAAAAAATGGTGATATTACTTTGATTAGAAAAAGCATGTTAACTAAAGGTTATATTCTCTACTCTGGATGTGTATAATTTGCAGTTGAAAGAGATGGTATTGGCGCTGCTGCATGAGTCAGACTTGGTTCTTTCAGATGACGTAGTTGAGATTATTGTAGATGAGGTGAAGACTACTTTAAAGTTTAAACTATCTTTCACGCCAATTGTCACTTTCTTTGTTCTTTGCTGTTTATTTACACTCTCTCTATATCTTGTGTGCCAGACGTTTAGCGATGCCGATACAAAGGGTGATGGGAGGATAGATTCAGAAGAGTGGAAGGAATTTGTTTCAAGAAATCCGTCTCTTCTAAAGAATATGACACTTCCCTATCTGATGTAAGTGTGGCATCAATGTAACTTTAGATAGGCATTGTGCTTTTTAATTGTGATTATCTCGAAGGTGTTCTTTTACAATTTTTTTCGCTCCTCTTGAAATGACTATAAGCTGTTTGGATAGTTGAAAAACGAAACATAAATTGCTATTACCTGATACTGATGATATGGTAGCCTTGTTGTATTCAGGGATATAACTTTAGCATTCCCCAACTTTGTGGTAAGCTCTGAGGTTGATGATTCAGAAATTTAGACTTGTGCGCGTAAATACAAGTCTTTGAAGGTTATGTTAAATAGCCTCTTCCACACCGGTGTTTGGATGATCCAATTCAATACAGTGCAAAGGAGTGCCATAATCAGAAGAATATCAGGTTTTATATTGATTATTTGAGATTCACCAAACAAGACTGAGTTCCTAAAGCAAGAGCTATCCAATGTGATAAAAATTACAGTATTTAAGGGGCAAATCATGGCTTCTCGGAATGTTCCCATCTGGTTAGACTTTTTCATGATCAGGCTAGGCTGCTTTTTTTAAAAAAAAATAACAGGGGATTGTCCATATTGTAGTTGGTATAAGTAATTCCAGACCCTTCTTTCTTCCTTTTGTATTCCAGCTTGTAGGCTAGACTTTTGACAGTGGTTGCTGATTTCTTCTTTGATCCAATGATATATCAATTTGATTTAACATCATTTACTATTCATATACTTATTCTGGAAGTTGTCAACTTCCACTATGTCAAATGATGCTCAATTGTGGGTCTCCCAGATGGAAACAACTATTATTTTAAATATGATCATAAAGTGTGAAAGATGATAAAAATGAAAGCTGTAATCTGGTGTATATATATGATCTAATAAAATCAAGAAAGAAAAACAAATTACATGCACTTACTAAACAATGAAAGCTGTAATCTGGAATATGTTTCTTCGGTCAGATCACCAATACTGGAGCAAATTCAATTTAGCCACCTATCTTATGAAAATACTATTAATGGGGACATATCATGTTATTCATCATATATTACTGCACAAAACATAAAATTCCATCTTGGAAATATGTTCATTTATACCATTAACTTATTCAGGTACTCAAACCTGCCAAGAACGCCACCCCTGTTGAAGGCAACCACGACGATCCGAAAATGAATTGACCTACAGTGAACTTGCTGGCCTCGTCCGTGGAATTGATCACACGATATCCCGGCCAATTCACCCGTTGTCCCACGGCTGCTCCCGGCCCATAGTTCATATATTCACCATAATACAATGTATCAAGAGCGAAAGTAGCATTCCACTCTAACCAACCGTGCGGGTGTATGTGATCGCCCAAGTAAGATAACATGACAACAGTTCGTGAGTACAGCTTCCATGGTCGGCCTAGATATGTGGGGAAGCTCCCTTTAGATGCCTGGAGGTCAGATGTGGCTATGATTTTGCAAGCATGGATTGAAATGCCAGTGTTTTGATTGGGATCTTTCCTGTTTTGAGCTGTGATGGTGTTCTTTTGAAAGTCCATTGGCTTTCGAGCGTAAATGCTGCAGTTTTGGATGACCACTGCTGCATTACCAAAGATGAAATCAACCGTCCCATAGATATCACACTCACGATAGAATTGGCGCTGGGAGTGCACGTAGAGCGTGTCTTGGTATCCGATGATGTTGCATCGATAGATCACAGCATGATCAGCACCAATACGAAGAGCTACCGCTTGATGCTTGCCTGGTCCAGCCCAGTTCTGAAATGTAATGTCTCTTGCAATGAATCCAGCTCCAGTTGCCGCTGTACATTAAGAAATCGCACTGTCAAGCCATGATCCAATGTTACAGAGATGATAACAGGGTACTTACTTTTCCTTTTTTTAAACATTCAAATTATGTAAACTTAGATATATATATTCTTATGACAGTGACATACAAAAAATGCAACTTATAATACGTTTTACATAATCATTAAATATTTAATTTAATTTAAAAATTAATCAAATGAATTATTAAAAACGAACCAAAAGAAAGTGACCCACGGGACGCACGGAGTAATAAATCTACTCAAGTGGTTAGAGAAAGTGAGTCAAAAGGACATTAACAGTTAGAAGGGGCATGAATATTAATTACTTCACCTCCCAACAACATGTGATTATTTCTTTAAAATATAATAAGCCTACCAAAATACTGGTCCCTTGTACTACTTGTCTTCATATTATAGATTTTACAAAAGCCAATCAGGCCATGGATAAGGATCAACTATTTGTGATTTCTACTATATTTTTTCATAATTTTTTACTGAGAAACACAATTGTGGGGCTAACGTCCTTTATATTACCTGAACTAATGTTACTATCCACGCTTCCCAAAATAGGTAAAAACACCACAATATAGTGCTTCCACATTTTAACTTATGTGTTGACAAAATAATTAACCAATTGGGATAATGGTATTGGTCATTTGAATTCATATTTATTCCTGACAATTGCATTATTTATTTTCTCCAACACCAAAATAAAAAATAGTAAGATATTTGGAGGGTATGTAGCATACAATTGACGACTGAGACTTAATTACAAAGTAGCTAAGAATTCAATGACAAGGCCATGTGCTTTCTTATTTCTACTACTGATATGTTAGTACTAAAATTGCCAAAATGAAGAGGGCCGCCCCATGCCCACTGTTTTCAATTTTCCACCACACATTACGATAAATATATATAGAGTTATATCAGTATGACGCTGAAACCATATAACTGGAGCTAAATCAAGGCACCGGCCTAGCAATGTGACGCTGATGTTTGATTTTAAACCATTTGTATTTTTAAAAATGTAGTCAAAGTGAGTAAAGATACCGAAAGACGCGGTATGGAATGTCGTCAGATTCTGTGATACACTTTTGCCACCTGATATTACCGTCTGGCCTTTACCGTCACCTATGAACATTACGTTCGTCTTTTTCCTCCCTACTTTCAGGATATCTTCTTCATACCTGTTATTTTACATGCAAAAAAAAAACGATTAAAAATTTAAAATTGTATTTATTTGATCACTTGAACACACAAAGTAAACAACAATTTGATAAATGCTTTCAGGCTACTAAAATATCGACGACAAGGAAATGAGAAGATCAATGCTATAATTAACTACTGAATACTGAGTCTATCACGTGGGATGTGAACAAAGACAAAGATAAAGTACCATTGATATGTGAAAAAGTAAAAAAAGCAAAAAAAAAATTACCTTCCTGCTTTGACGTAAATTATTATTCTGCGAGAACTGTAATCAGGGAGCTTCTTAATTGCCTCTGCAATTGTCTTGAACGTTCCGTTACCGTCTTTTGAAACGATCATATCTGCTTGAATTGTCGAAACTGGCGCATTAAGTAACTTACGATCCTTCCGTGATAACCATTTCGGGAAATTCTCATTTTTCGCCGACGAAACAGTACTCATTAGTCTCCGCCGACGGTTGTGAATCGGAACTCCGGCGAAATCATCGTTTCCGTTCACGGCAGCGAAAATGGCTAAGCAATTGCTCACTAATTGAGACAAATCCTTCAAATTCGTCGCCATCTGATCCTTCACGTTCCCGCGAACATCAGCGAAACCTTCCGTACACGTGTCCTGGTTGGTGAGCGCAGCGCTCAGCCACGTCTGCACGTCGTTATTGTTTCCCGGCGGTGATTCTCCGGCGCCGGGAGCAACAGAGGTTAAGGATCGAGATAGAAGGTAAACAGAATCTTCTAACAGCTCAATACAACTCTCGTAAGCGGACCTTGTATGTTTATCCATAACAAGGCTGTTAATATCGGAGGCCATGTAAAACGCCCTGCCGAAACGCTGAAGCGTCGCATTGACGGAAATGTGGACGAGTTCCGCGTCGGAAGCGGTGAGTGCGCCTGGGAATTCATGCAAAGAGTTTAAACAGAGTGTTTTGAAGCGAGTTCGACTACATGTTCGTGAAATTGCCTGACTGGGCTTTATATGAGTCACTGTGGCACCTGTTTTAGTAGTACTCCGCACAGTTACTACAACTGCTGCAGAAATTGCAGCAGCAATTATAAGAATGCTAAAGAAAATGAGCACAATTTTGAGTTTTGACCTTTGATTTGGCACATTCTCTTCAAATTTTGGGAGTATTTCTCGGCGTGAGAGATCTTTAGGCTTGGGTTTTCCAAGCCTGGCGTAGTCCATTTTTGGGTTTTAAATTTTGGAAAATACAGTAGTAAGAGAAAAATGCAGTTGCCGACAATAAGTAGAGTGAGCAAATGGAGCCTCGGGGAGGCAAGAATACTGTTTTTTTTTGTTGCTGTTGTGAGTGTTGGATAGACCGAGGAAAATCATGCATATATATTAGCCGGTGGAAACTATGCAAGGGCAGGGGTGATTAGGAATTAAGATCGGATTTTAAAGAAAAAAGAAAGTTTTTTTTTAAAAAAAATGAAAAATAATATTTGAAAAGTAATAAGTATTGAAAATAATTTTTAAATTATTAGTTTTATTTTTTCAAATTATTGACGGTCTTAAAAATACATTTATATCTGACTAACTGATCTTAAATACACGTGAATCCTAATTCTCATCAATTTTAGGGGTATTTTTAAACTTCTCTTGGGTTTTATTAAAAGTTCCACAATCCTACAATTTGTTATGTCATGTGGAAGATCACAGGTGTATTTAAGTTGAGTTATTCAAGTAAATAGATATTTTTAATATTGTCAATAATTTAAAATTGAAATTAATAATTCACGTTAAGTTCAAAAGTATTTTTAATAATTCTTTCTATTTGAAAATTGAATTTGTGTTTGGCTATTAAAACAAATTGGAGTTGCTTTGAAGTGAAAAAGTGAAAGTTATTTATCAAATTTTTGAAAATTCTGAAATTCAATTTCACGTTAAATTTCAATATTTTATGATCCAACGTACTTTTTTTTTTTGTATTTGTGGACATATGGCTAAAGCGAATTCATGATCTTTAGTAGTAAATTCAAATAATTAGTATATCATATTGTAAAATAATGAGTTCAATTAAATTCGTAAGACGTAAACGTGGGTTCGAGTAAGAAAAGATGTGTTTCCAAGTGCCTATGGAAGTGGCAACGTTGTGAGTAAGGGTAAGGTTTGGTGTGAGGTCAATATCAAGAGGAGATTATTAGCTGTCCTCCATGGAAGATAGTGGTAGACTTAGGGAAAAGATTTATCTATATATTGACTTCTTTTTGTTGTATTCATTCATCAATTTAGTTTGCAGAATATTAAATGGTACAACAAGTGGGTAGCACTAATACTGGTAATTACTTTTAATTTATTAATTTGTTAGTACGTAGTATTCATTTTGAAGCAAGAAATGGTGTTTAGTGCCTCACTAGTGAGAAACAATCAACTTTTGGATTACTTCATTTAAATTTTGGTAATGACGTTTATGATTTGATTTAACAAAGTGTTATCAAATGAAGTTAAAGGGGATTTGGTGATTATAATTTGGTGATGCAATTGTTAGAATGTGCTTGAACATGGCTTAATTTGTTTTTTTCTAAAAGATAGTAAGGGCATATCATCAATAATTTAGAGCATATATTAAATATTACTTACTATTTTATGGATAGATACGTCAGGTTGTGGTCAAACAATAGAAAGAATATATGATTTAAAATAGAATATATATAATAAATGTATATTTACTATTTTCATTAACATACTTAT